ACACACACACACACACACACACACACACACACACACACACACACACACACACACACGTTTCCGTTGAGTCCTTACTTCGTGCTTGTTTGACTCTCGGTGTTGTGCAGACCCTGACATTGACAATGTCACCGACAGGCGGAGACGCTGTCCCCGCTTGATCATCGCCCATTCAGGGATCTGCGCAGGGTACCCCCGATCCTCGCCAAAGCGTCGATCGATCTCCATGTGCAGCGTGGGGGTTGTTGGGTGTTTCACTGCACAGTGGTGGTCCGGAGGTCCGTTTGGGGAAACGGCGTCACGGTACCATTTCGTATGCGACTCACAGCGTCGTTGCCGCGGGCGTGACACCCATTTCGCCTTTCGCCGGTGTGTTGGGGGCATCTCCGTCGAGTGTGGCCGGGTTTCGTGACGCGGCCACGTTTGGAGGTGTGTACGGTGCTCCGTTGCTGCCATTCCCATTGTTGCCTAGATGGCTGGACTATGCAGCCACGATTCCTTTAGCACCTGTATGGTCACATGCGGTGGCCCCGCCATGTCCCGCCGGAGGCGGTTCTCTTCCAGGAAATCGCAGCGACGCTTTGCGTTCTCCACCCGTTTCACGTCGACGAGTCGTCGCCTCGACGGCGCGTTCGTTTGTTGTGCCGCCTCAGGCTCCCTTTGTCGCTCCAGATTCCACACCTCTGTTTGACGATGTGGATAGCTCTGTGGCACTCGGTGGCACGCCGTGTTCGGGCGACAACAACATCGTGCGAGTGTGTGTGCGGGACGCGTGTCGGAGACGGTTGTACACTCTCCGCGACGCTATGGCCGATCTGGGTGACCATCGCGGACTGGTCAGCGACATTATTGATCGGCTGCTGCACTGGTCCTTGCCAGCCATCCGAGCGGAGTTTGGAGACAAGGTAGGAGATGTGATTTCTTCTTCGTTGCCATCTCGGGTGTGCGGTCGAGATTTCACGTTGCGTTATATGCCAGGCGATTCCGGTGTTGACTACGGTCAGGGGGACTCGCAGGGTTCAGCGAGCGGAGGGCTGGGTGAGTCTCATGACACATCACAGAACTCGTTCCCGTCATCGCGTCGTGCATCGCAGCGCAGTGACAGAGGGCGCGGCAGACCCCGCAGCGCGGGCCGCTGCACACCGACACCTGCCCGGCCGCAGACGTGGTGGGATAGTTGGGACGGTGTTCACCAGTGAGGTCCTGGCCCTGAAAAAGAACGTGCCAGTGTTGAGGAGGCGATGGGTAGATGGAGTGGACCGACGACGACGGATGTTGTGTTTCTGGAGCCGGTTAAGCTTCTTCAACTGCTGGCCATGTTTCATCTATATTGCCACAGGCACAAGGGCTCGTGCCGTGTGTCTGTGGAGTCCGTGTCCTATCCTGTGCAGCTCTGTAAGCTGGCGTTCGTATGCGACAAGAAATGCAAATGGACGTGGCACATGGCACTCGTGACCATGAACGTTTATCAGTCGCGACTGATGCAGCAGCTCTTTCATGCCACGGTCACCGCCGGCCTTACGTTCACGCTCCTCGACAACTTTTGTGTTTGTTTGGGGATGTGCTCGGTGCACAAACCCACATTCTACAAGTTTATGCGCACAGAACCGTGGGGGGCAGAGGGATGGAATGCCAAGGTCGTACGGCAGGGCATAAAATATTGCGAGCTTGCCATTGACACTGTGATGCGCCGTGGTGGGGCAGTGACATTGATGGTTGATGGTCGATATGACTCTGCCAGAGGCGCGCAACATTGCACTGTCACCGCGATGGAGTACGAGACTCGGCTTGTTGTAGGTGTTCACACTCTCCGTCCGAAGATTGAAGGCAAGGCATCGAATGCGCTTGAGGTGCCAGCCGTCGTGCAACTTTTGCGAGAGCTGATGGACAAGGGGTTGAAGATCCGGTGCGTTGTCTCGGATGATTGTGCGCCGCCGGGACCGAAGTTGCGAGCTATGAACATCGAGTGGCAGAAGGATTGCCACCACAAAATAAAAAACATTCGAAAACACTTCTACAGTATGCTGCAACTGAAGGAAGCGAAAAAAGTGAGCAGCCGACACGACTGTGTATCAGAGGCGCAGTTCATGCAGTTCACGAAGAAGCGGCTAAAAGAGGCGTTGGAGCAGCGTTTTGGACCTGACGTCCTCACACCTGCTGAGGAGCAGCTGAAGAAATTGCCCTTCGTCACTGTCGTCATGCGAAAGATGTACCCCTACGGATCGAGGTTGAATGTTCGAGCGTTGGAGACTGATCCAGACGGCTTGACAGAGTATCATGCGCATGAGGTTGGGATGTGGTTCCTCCGCGCTTGCCAGCTGTGCAAGGAGAAGGGCGGAGACGCCGACAGTCTACACCGTGACATCATGTTGGTCGCCGATCATTGGGCTGGTGATCATTCGGGATGTGTGGACGGTAGGGAGGTTCTGTGCGAGAAGGCCGGTGGGCGTGCACGATTGCCTTTGTATAGCCGCACGGACACGGTCTACGAGCTCGTTCTGCGTGTTCTCGATAAACAATGCAGCACTAACATCACGCCGTACTACGTCGAGTTTCGGCACACATGGGCGGTGGAGACTTTTCAGGGCACCATCATTATCTATGCGAAGAAGTCGGTGCATTTCGAGAACTCTTTCTGTGCACGTTTGTCGATCGCAGTGATTCGGTGGAACAGTCACTGCTGGCGCGACCCGGTCGGGTATGTTGCTCACATTGCAGCGGGCACTTCCATACGTGCGAGACCAGGCTTCCGTCGACACTACGGTCACGAGGCGATCGACTGTTGGGAGGACAGATTGGCGGCGTCAGTGTTCGGTTCGGCTCATGTTTCAGACTGGGCTCGAGAGCTTCTGTGGCATGAGGTTTGTCCTTATGGAGCCGGGCCATTGCCGCATGATTTGTTCGTCAGCGGTGGGGGCGACCCAGTGGAAGTCGTTGATGATGCTGCCTCAGATTCCGACCATGAGGCGGTGGGGGAGAACCGTGTTTTCATCATTGGGCACGTGGAGGACGATGCGGTGCCTGCATGCGATGATTGGGTCCACACATCGAGCTCCGAATCTGAGGGTGACGATATAGAGTTGTTCAGCGTTTGACTGGTTGAATGGCTTTATCGTTGACCTGACATCGGTCTGGTGATCCGAATTTCATTGAGCATGGCGTTGTTCACACACATCTCATGGTGTCTTGTTTGTAACGCTACATTATGTCCGTCTCTTTACTTGTACATATATATATATATATATATATATATATATATATATATATATATATATATATATATATTTTTGCTCAGTCTGACTTCCAAGACTGATGGCGAGGCTGTATACTACCCCGTAGGGTTACATTTGTATTTTTGTTCGGCTGATGGCTAAACGTGAGACGAACCTGTGAGGAAAATTCGTGAGGGCCAATATCTGTAAATATGGGAAATATAGGCCCAGCAGTATTTTGAATTTCCTATACGTACCCCTGCTGCGAATAGCAGGCCCGGAATAGCAGGCCCGGACTATGCGCATGCATCTCGCTAGCAGCATGTATTTTTGCTCCTTCGCGAACCAGCAGATGTGTGTGTGCATCTCGGTAGCAGCATGTGCGAAGGAGCAGATAGCGGACAGGGCCGTCTCTTGGAGAGGGAGATTCCCTGTCTCCTTTTTCCCTTCCTCCTCTCCTCGCCCTCTGTCCTCCTCCGCCGGTTCTGTGTTGGCGCCAGTAACGTGGTTGCCTGCACACAGCTCTACTATACGGACCAGTTCTTTGACCACTTTACTTGCCACCTCACTGTCAAGAAATATGTCCGCATCAGCGTCTCTCTGGTCTCGCCATGGCTGCCAAGGGAGCACAGCAAGGCCCAAAGCGACCCGAGCGAGAATGGATGCAGCGAGTAGGACCTCTTTGGAACCCACGGGGTTCGGTGTGCGTTGGAGCACCCTCAGCAGAACGACATACCCTCCCGACATGGCGAAGTCTCGACAGAAGTCGACATCCACGGCGAACCGGCTGGCCTGGGGTATATCCTGCAGGATATTTAGCATCTCATGCCCGTGGTGAGTATTCCTGACGCGCGCTAGGTCATGAAGAGCCTCCAGTGCCATTGTCAGCTTGCCTCRGCTCTTCCCCGAGGAAGGTTGCCTGCTCTGGACAGAGAGGGTCGGCAAGTTCAACGAAACAATGTCCAACAGTTCAGACACGTCGTGAAACCAGARCGCCGGCAAGCCGCATGTCTCCACGTGGTTCATGGCATCCTCCGCGGTGAAGTGAGAATGCTCGCGGAGGTGGCACTGGTAAATTAATCCAAGCTCCGTCTCTCTCTGAGTCCTCCATAGCCGCTCCCAAAAAGGACCTTCACGGTGACCTATGAGATGGGGAGGACCGATTGAGCGAACGACATCCGAGCGTCGAGTAGGCAAAGCGCGTAAGTAAGGGATAAGGATAAGGGCGGACAGAGAAAGGAGGTGGAGCGCGACAGCTAAGGAAACGAAGGTATGAAATTGAATGAGATTCTCAGTCACCCAGTTCGGCTCGCTCCCGTGGTGCTTSCGACGAACCATCTCCGAACAGGTTCTGTAGCGGTGGAGGAGGGCGATTTCACTGGCACACAGAATAAATCTCATAGCCGAAAAAGTCCGGTATAAACTCCATCCCACTCTCACTCTACCCTGTAAGATTAGTCGTGACGGTTCCCCAAACGCAATAATAGAGCTCATAGTTTGCCCATAGCTCCGGATTCCAATCCGAGCGCAGGAAGTACCAGTACAGAAAAAGGACTGAACATAAACCGCAAACTGGGAAAAAGCTAGATTCATGGAGAGCCACGTGCATGCCCAAAAGAGAGTAAGGGGCATCTCTGAACCCAAAGAACCCACCTGCAGGGTAGTCAACGAAAAAGCTGCATACGCTAAACAACTCTCCACCTGCTCAATAATAGAGCATAACCACAAGATCGTCCGCGTAAGCGGAGGGAACATATAAACCATTTCCACCGATTGAAGTTAGCGTAAAGAGAACTGGATTCGCTACCCTGCATGTGAGTTCCACAGTCTCTCGATACCTTTCTCATTGATATATCAATCTATGTACTCGACGGACAATCTATACACCAAACTCTCTCTCTCTCTCTCTCTCTCTCTCTCTCTCTCTCTCTCTCTCTCTCTCTCTCTCTCTCTCTCTCCCGATGTCCATATGTGTGTAGATATGAATCAATCTATGTGTGAGGATCCAAATGTCTCCCCGCTCAAGTCTCACTCTGTAGTCCGGATGTTCAGTCTGCACTCCGTT